TGCTGCTACCCTCAACTAACCTCATAGTGAATCAAGTCCATTCCCAAAAGGAAATTTAGAGTGCAGTTGGTTGATGTACATATAAACTTCTTCTACTCATCCAGAACGAAACAACAAATGATTTCCTGAGGTTATTATACAATCGTCAGTAAAATATTATGGCCAAAGAGATTCCTTTTGTCATGTGATCTACTTTTCATCAAGGGATAAGAAAGCAATAGCTTTAACCTGTAGCGGCATCTTTTAGGAACTTGTGAAAAGGTTATGGTGAAAATGGATTTGTATGATTTATCAGAGGCTCTAATTTAGATATTGGCGATGAAACCTCTACTGCTTTGTTCTTAGTCACATTCATCTTATTAATTAAGAAATGCAATCCAGAAATATTGATAGGGACCATGGCGCTTACCATCTTCCACTTGGTTTGGTGTTTAAATCTAGATCCTTGTAATAAAATAAGTTTCCTTCCCAAAAATACTGAAGGGCAACAACCAAAAAGAAAAATGAGAAAGGAAAAAAGGGGTTAGGAGTAGAAAAAAAGGAAATATATATCTAAGATAAGTCATGAATTTCTTTATAAGGGCAACTTCATGCACTAAGTTTGCGCTATGAGTGCGGTCCGGGGAAATGCGGACCACAAGAATTATGATTTACAAAACCTAAAAGAAATAGAGAATCTAAAAAGAAAAGAGCGATTCTCTACAAAAGACACCCAATTTTCTATATAATTTGAACTTCATGAATGCGCTTAAAAGTGAAATAAGGAATAAGAGATTGTTCTTTAATTATACAAAATCATTCTTTATTCCTTTAACTTTTCCCCCCCATTTCTCTCTTTTCATACAAACCTACAAAAGTGTTATTAGAACAGCATCCCATTCCCGACGTCTTCTTTTCCATCTTCTAAAGGCCCACTTCCTCGTCTAAAAGTTCAACTGAAACAATACCTCATTGAGAGTTCGTGGCATCACTCATTATAGTCCAAACAATCTCCATAGTCAACTACTGACAATTTGGAGGGTGGTGATTCAGGTCTTCACCCGTACTCTTCCACATAAAACTCGAACTGACTTGTAGGGATGTCAATGGTTCGGTTCGGCCGGTTTTATAAAATTTGTACCATACCAATTTTTCGGTTATTCTATATGTATAACCAAAATTAGACTTTTAGAAACCATACCAATCATGTCGGTTTCTCTTCTGTATTGGACGGTTTGGTTAATTTTCCGGTATTTTTTTAAATGTCATTTAAAAATCACTAGTAGAAGCAGAATGCAATAACATTCGTACTTTTATAGGACTTGGCAGACATTTTTACTATTTAAAGGGTGATGAATTAAGAAAACATGAAAGATGGCCAGAGTATAGATCCATCAACTATTCTACAGCAACGCAAAAGAAACTAAGCAAAGATAAAGGAAATATAAATCACACGAGTGGAAAGATATTAAGCAAGTTGGGACTCAAGAATAAAGTCTATAGAAGATTAAATATTTGAAAATATAAATTTTGAATCATACGAAAGGAAACATATTCAATACATTGTAGTTTGCTAATCAAAATCGCTAGAATATGTTGTGTGGTGCTAGTGAATATGCTGGAAAAAAATTTAGTTTCAATTAAAGTAGCATAATAGGTTTGGAAATTAGGATTTTGAGTTTAATTACTTGTTGGCTTGTAACCATTTTCATAATTCCAAGGCCCAAGGAAAAATTTAATGCTTTATTATTTTTAAACTTTAATATATAAATATATTTTTTCGTAAATTTATTCGGTACGATTCGGTAATTTTTTCGGTTTATTTTCATAAAATAAAAAACCTATCTTAATTATCAATACGGTTATAGATTTACATAAAAACCTACAGTTTTATTAAAAGAAACTTAAAAATCGGTTCGGTGGGGTACGGTTCGATCGGTTTAGTCGATTTTTAAATATCCATTGACACCCCTACTGACTTGTGTGATCATCTTCCTCAAATTTTCGACTGTAAAAATCGTATCCCTCACTGCCAGTCATGTGAAAAGTAACACTGTTGGTACCGTGGGTATTTAAATTGAAAGGTGCATAAATACAACTCCTCCTTGACCACGAGCTTATTGTAACAGGATCCATTACTCCCGCCTACCCCTACAGATCCTGATTTTTATCTGAAGTGTTTTGATTGTGAAACAATTCAATCAGAGGTTAGACTTCCATGATTTCCAGTCTTGGAAAGATAATTAATGAGATAAGTAATGCTAGGGTCTGTAATTTATTATACCTAGCACCCTTAAGATCTATAATTGGTAGATAATTGAAAAAAATTCTCAATATTAAATAAACATTTAGAGCACTAGTAGATCTGAAGAATTGGATGGGTACAACTTTGTAATCTTGGATGGATCACTTCTACCACTTCCTTTGTTGTCTTATGAAGTAATTGTGGTTTTATTAGTGAAAGCAGCTAGGGGATGCAAAGCATACAAAAAGCTGTTGTAGCTCCTATATAAAATGAGGAGCAAACAAAATCAGAAAACATCTTACATTATTTACAGTGTTCAATTTGCTTTAACAAAAAGGTTCAAGAGACATTTTGTTCTGAGTTTGGGCTTGGTGGTGAATTCTCCTTCAAAGTGCCTCAGGTTTCTTTCCTTCCATAATGCCTCGGAAAATCACCAGCAATAATGGTTTGCCAGTCTTTTTGTTGATCTGTCCAAGCAAAAGAAGTTTTTGCTGTTTGAGACATTACATGTTGGACTCCAGAGGCACAAAACATGTTCCAAATATCTCTCATTGTACTGTAGTGAAGGATTTTCTGCAGCAAAATTGCACAAATAGCATCTGCTGCATAGCACTAGTCCCCTCCTATTGAGGTTTTGCTTGTTTAAGGCAAACCTCCTGCCAGCTAAAACAAGCATAGGAAATGCAAAATGTCCCAAAATTAAGATCAGCATATATTATTTTCTAATTATGCTATAATAAGAACAGACATGTGATCCAAACACATTGACAAAGCAGCTTTTAGAGCCAAGGTACTGACATGACAATTACTTATTGAGCACTGCTCCTTCCTTCCTAATTTGATTGAAAATCTTTCCTGTTTTGTCCGTTCGGTAGATTTAAACCTTTCTATATTTTGAATCTATTTAATGCTTTCTTGTGGATCCATCGGGCACGAAAACAAATACTTTGGTAATAATAAGGCTATTCTTTTGTATTTATGCATATTTTACTTCGATGATGTCACGAGTTCGAGCCGTGAAAACAGTCTCTTGCAGAAATGCAGTGTAAGACTGTGTACAATAGACCTTTGTGGTGTCCGGCCCTTCTCCGGACCCCGCGCATAGCGGAAGCTTAGTGCACCACACTGCCCTTTGTTTCTTGCATGAACTACTTGTCCAATCAAATCACCAAACAAATTGGGACAGAGGGTTTATTTTAGTTTTGGTGCCAATATATGTCTACAATTTCGCTCAATAGATTTCCTTAGCTCACAGATGATATGCATCAGACCTTTAACTAGTCGCGTGGTGATTGTTGATTTTATTTTTGCAACTTCCTTGGATATATGAAAGTTTCATATTTTCTTTTAGGGAAATAGTTTTATTAATGTAAAGAGGGTAATTCTGCAAAAAAGTGGATACAAAAAGTAGAAATTGGAAATTTCCATCCATACAACTTCTCAGTTTGTTTCGAGTAAATCTTGAGTAGTATCATTTAGTGCTATTGTCAACTTCAAGTTTCTTGCTGTATTTGCTACTCAATAAGTGATATTGGTACCTGTGCTTGGTAGTACCGAATTAAGTTAGTTAAAACATGTATGTTGCTACCTGCAAGAGTGTGTCTTATTGCATGTAAACTGAATCATCTCTAAGAGAGGAAGCTGGTGCTCACTTTTGCTGAGTAACACAGTTTCAGGCATCTTGGCTTAGCTAATGATGAAATATCAAATAGCATGAGTAGGCTACTCTCAATCGCTAATGCTTTCTAGGGGTCTTTGGTCTTGTTGGAGATTCTTATGTAGGAAATATAGAGAACTTCTAATCCTTTTCATTTTTATTTTTATTTTGTATTATGTTGGCGTGAGATAAATTTTAATGGTGAACATGTTTAGTGAGGATACATATAGCCGAATCTCTTAACTTATTTGGGACTGATGCATAGTTGTAGGCTACTCTCAATCACTACTAAACTGCTTTACCTTTTTTTTTGGCCGCTGTGTGGAGTAGCTAGAGAATTATACGATAAAGAGGAGGTCTAAAGTGACTTGATGATTGCTTAGATGTTCTAGATTGAAAGGAAGCGGGAGGAAAGAAAGTGGAAGAGTTATCACGAGTTTGATGAATCTGGGAATGGAGGGATAGGAGAGGAATACGTTAATAACAAGAGCGTAAGTTTCTTTACGTTCAAAGTTAGTGGAAACAAAAGGAAAGAATTCCTGTTCTTTGAAGTTCCCTGTGATGCCGAAGAAGATGCCCCCTCGGCTGTTTCTTTCATTTCTCTCCCTTACTGTTCAAAACGTCTTTACATAAAGCAAACATAAAATTCATGTTTCTACAGATCTGATTGAGTTTTTGGCTGAAACAAGATGAACGAGAAAAGTTTGTTTAGTCTTCTGCAAAGTTTTGGCTAGTCAAAAGCTTTCAGAAAATTATAAAAATGCCATTAGAACCTGAATCATAATAAATAACAGACATGTAAAACTTTGGTTGGAGTATGTTTTAACGCTTTGTAAGTTGATCTTTTGTTATAACTATTCTTAGTTTTTGATGTGTTAACTTCCAGTAGTTTCATTTTATTTAATTTTCATATTTTGTGATACCCAATTGTCTTATGATAACCAGCCAGAATTAATTGTTTTACTTCAGTTGAGCTGTAAACTCTTCCCATAAAGCTTGCAAAGAAACGTAACTTATACCTGAACAGACCTGTCATACAAAACATGTTTCTTACTAATAAATGTCTGACATGCTTTGGCCTTATCGTACTTTTGGTTAATCATGGTGTAAATTGTACAGATGCAGAAATTCTCTTTTGCTAATGAAGCCATGCGACGGGCGCACCAGATCGAGTGTTGATGTGATCTTCAAGCAACTTCTTCTGAGTTCCAGCCTATGAAGGAGATGCTCAGGTTGTCTATGAGCTTTCATCAAGTGCTACTTTTTCCGCTGATTGTTGATTCAAGTTAAACTAGAATACAGTATGCTTTCAGTATTTTAGCTATGAATCCAAAGTTGTTCCTTGTTTGCTGTAAGGTTTGTTTATTATATAAGAAAATATACAGGTTAGAACAGGAGCAGTTAGTAGGCAGTTTTGTGGACAATAGTGCAGCAAAAACTAGAAAATATCTTTTGTAGTTTCTTTTCTTTTCCATGGATCCTTTTGTCATGCATTACACCTTTCAACTAGTTTGTAAAGAGCCTGTTTACCCTATCAAATGCAGATTGTATCTTCAACAATGATAAAGGTGACCTAATCCCCCTTGCTTTCAGTGTATATTATCAGCTTACTCTGTGTATGTCATCTGAAGGAAGAGTCTTTTACGGAGTCGATAATCGAACATGTCAGTATGTATATATAAGGGGAAAAAAAATTCATTGAAAGAAAAATGGATTATAAAGTAGTACAGTTGGTTTGTCGTTCAAAAGATGGATGTTTGTGTTATGGTATTTCTCTTGGCCAAATTCCGAGTTTGGTACTCTTCTTGATAAGTTATTTCCATATAACCCTTACCATCTTACCCCATAGGAGGAGAGGGAGAACGACAAATATGATTAGTTTGAAATGACAAAATTCATTTAAGAAGATGTCAAATGCGTGTCTCAACAATCGTTATTTGCTCAGTCTTCAAATAAAATTCACAGTATACTGCACTATTTCTTGTGGGAGCCGAGCCATTATGTTTTATTTCTTTCTTTGATGTATTAAAAAATCAATTGTTAGAACATGAGAAGGCCAAAAATGTCCCTCAACTATTGGAAATAGAACACAAATGCCTTTTGTTTGACTTTTGGTCTAAAAATGTATCTAAACTATTAGAAATAGGATAAAAATACATGACGGAGCATCTTTTGGAAAAATGATAGTATTATTTTTGGTTTGTTCCATATATAGCAGATTCTTTTACAATACTAGCATATTACAAAGGTTATATGCACAATTAATGAGTAACACTAATTGCGGGATCAATTTTATCCTTATTTATCTAAATTTGAGTTGCTTGATCTAGCATTTAAATCTCTCTCTCTCTCTCTCTATATATCTATCTATCTATTCTAAATTTCTGTCTCTTAAATTAGCATTCAACTATTCTCTGAATATTTCCAGTCATGTATACTATTTATACATATATTATACCGAATATAATTATATACTATTATATTATCATGTATATACTTATTTCATGTATATATTTAATTATCTACTATTTTTATGTTAAAACACAATCTATACAATGGCTGAAGATTTACTATAGTATGTATACTAATATACTAAAAATATCATTATAATTTAAAAACTATTTAATACCACCATTATACTATGTAAAAATTTATGTTGATATACAATTAAAAATAACACCTTATACCAACAGAATAAATCTCATATATAATTTACTATGTAAAAATTGACGTTGATATACAATTAAAAATAAAACTTTATATCAACAGAATAAATTTCATATATAATTATATACTATTATAATATCATGTGTATACTTGTTCTATGCAATTAAAAAATAAATCTCATATATGAACGTACGCAAAGAGAAAAGCATTAGCTGGTTACCAATTTAGGTGAAATTCAACTTCTTCATGAGCTATCTCCTTATTTCTGGCGCTAATTTAGGAAGACTTAAGGAAAGAATTGAAAAAAATTGAACTGCTTTGGACCTTCTTTAAGGAATTAAATGCTCTGGTCTTCTTTTTAAATGTGATTCTTGGTCCATATTTATAGCTTCCTGCTAAAGAGTGTATTTATTAAGCCGCCTGTTTTGTAAAATACTTAATGATGCTAGATATTTGGAAAATTTTCTTAACTATTGTGTTAACGGACTTTCAGGTCCCATATACATATATATATATATATATATATATATACTAGTTTCTCGGCACGTGCGTTGCACGTATATGCCGAATTCTATCATTTATTTTGTAAAATAATATCGTTATTATTAAACAAAACATTGATTAAATAAGTAAAAATGAAAGACTAAAACTCAAGTATTTATGCAAGATTAATGTAGATGCCATATGATCATTTATTTGTCGATGTTAAGATCGATGACTGAATGTCTTTTGAACTTATGAAGATAAACAATTAAAGTTTAATTGGATATATGCGATGTCATTAATAATTGCAATATAAATAACTAAAGAATATAATAAAAATTAAAAATAATATTATATCCGTCAATTGATATTACTGGCCCAGTTAAAAATATTTCTTGTTTTAAATTTTTGTATGATCTTACTATCCCTATTCGATTTACTAATATTTTTAACATGAATGCATACAAATCAGAACATACCATATGTGATAATTATATATGTGCTTTAACTCATGTCATAATTTTTTTCTGGTTAAAATCACAGTTAATGAATGAAGAACAAATACTCATTGATAATAATATCTCTTTGATTTATGCCCATAGAAAATACTACCAATAATTTTTTATAAAGGATCTTTGAAGCTTTTAATAAATAAGTGACGATGTACTCTAAAAAATATAAATGTGTAACTGTAGATTTTTCTCTTGGGGTTATGATGAAAGCCGATTAACTAATTAATAGCTATATATTCAAGTATGAAGAGGTCATACGAAGTATATATCAAGTTTGTAAGGACTTAGCAATAATTTCAACAAGGTCAAACATAAAAATTACTATCATAAAACTGAGTAGTCTACTTTTATAGAAGGCTACATCAGTATATATAATGAATGAGTAAATTCTGGAGCATAATTCTTTCAAAACTAATCTTAAAATATAACATGAAAAATTAACTTAAATACAAAAGAAATGAATGTGAAACTTGCCTGAAATTGTTCTGTAAGTAATTCTTTATCTCAACATTTTTAGCGCTCTCTAATTCAAAAACCAAAATCAAATATTAGGCTAGAGGTTCTAAAGTAAACCGTCCATAGTGAATTGACTATCTTTGCCTTAATGATTCAATATACACCAATTCTTTGAAATCAAAATTATGTTTTTGGCCATTTAAACTCATCCCATCAATATATGGAAGATCTAATATCAGGGTTAACCAGAAATTTCACAAGAAATAGAGTATAAAGATTAATTACAATCGTTAATGTGATCTACCATATGGCTTGAATCTGTTTCTCATTAGCAAACGAATTTTTTGCGTTTATGACCAATGAGAATGTAGTTTAGCCCTTCTCAGTTTCGCAATATCCTTAACAAACTGATACAGTGATTTCTCAACTACATATTCAAATGAAGTTAATGCACAGGTGAAAAATGAATGAGTTTAAAGGATAGAAAATATATCTAGCACATTAGCTTCCAAACCCTTTGTCATGTACTTGATCTAAAAATAGAGACTGGCTTTTATTAAGTGTAAATTGGTTAAAATATTCAATCACAATTGGCCTTAAAATTATTGTTAACCATATTAGACCCCTCCATAAATTAAAAGGCACAAGCTTTTAAAAAAAATACACTTTAGAAAATATTACTACTTTCTTTCTCTTTTATATTTATTTTTTAAGTAGGATATTTAAGAGCATTTTGAGAATTTAATTGTTAATTTTTTAGTTTAAGATGGTATGTGTAACTTAATAACCAATGTAAAAGAACTTAATTATAACCCCGTCCTACCATACAATATTTTATTTGATCAATAATCAGACCAAATGCGATAAAAATACTTGGTTAAATCATCTTCGCTGAATTATATTAATGTGCACATATTATTTAAAGCCTTGTTCTGACCTTTGATCCTGTGGTAACACACTGCGATTGAGCCCTCGCTCGTCATTCTCCTATCTTAAAACTTGGTACGATTTTCACATTCGTAATACATTGAAAACTAAAGTCATACCAATAACCTATTAACAACTCGTAAGCAGACATCTGTTTTGATCAAGAACAGAATAATAAGTCGTCGCAATCTCTTGAGAAGTTCTTTGATTTCGGGGAAAACATCGTAATGCATACAAACAACGTAATCCCCTTTTAAAGATTATTTCATTGCTGAGAAAGACTTCACCTTGGAAAAAAGGCTACCCTGACCACTTACTTCTTGTATATTGTGTTTTCTCCTTCGTTGGAAAGATGTACCTTTTGTTTTTGAGCTTTTTTTCCGTACAAAGTCAGAGCAAATATGTGTGACTTAATTGTTACTCCTAATAAAGTGGAATAAAAATTCATAACAAATCCATGTTTCAATCTAAATAGAGCCAAAAAGGTAATTATCCATCTCTCTCTCTACTTTTTGGAGGACATAATTATTCGATATCTGTACTGATATATAACATAGCAGACACTCATGAAATAGATGATCGCAAAAGTAAATTTCGCATTAATTCATAAATTAAACGTGTTCGAGCCGATTTCACGGAATTCAGTTATTTCATGAACACCAGTCCAGATCCCAAATAACTTCTCCTATTTAGACATATATGAAAAGAGATCCCCACAATTATTATATACTCCAACTTTGGTATTATTGTAGAAGGAAATTAAGTGATTCATTTTTTTTTTGACGAAAATTTGCTTTTATTTCATCAAAAACTGACATTACATACCCAGATTAACGCTGACCATTAATCTCTAATCTCTATTACAAAGTATAACTATACTATGTATGTAATACTAACAAAATTCTATACTAAGGCAATTTATTTACAGAGTCTAATCCTGGCCTCCATTTGATTTTCTTCCTTCCTTGTATGTATATATGCATTGCAATTTCCTTACAGACTTCATCAATATTGTATCTCCCCTTGTTGAATCTCATCGAATTTCTTTCACGCCATATGCAGTACACAACCATTGCAAAGGCTGCCGTGATCATTTCTGCCTTACACTCTTTCTTCTTTGCCATGCTACTAATCCATATCAGCTCATGGTTCCAGTCACCTATCAGCCTTGTATGCCCCAACCATTTCAATATCCTTTCCCACAGTTTGTTGGTACTATGACAACCAAAATAAAGGTGATCAAATGTTTCCTCAGCTTTTCCACAGAAAATACAATCTACCTGCACTTGAATACCAAATTTAGTAAGCCTATCCACAATTGCTATCCTTTGGTTAATAACCAACCATAGATGAAACTTGAATCTAGAGTGAATCTGTGAGTGCATGTGGATACTCTTCCATTCAACTTTAATGAATTGAGGCTACATTTGGACATACGCCTTGTGTATCTGGAATTTACCTTGCTTCACAAAGCTCTCCCGAATGGTTGTAATACTATGTTGATCTGTCCTCATCTTCATAACTTTATCTTTTGCCTCTATGATCTTCCTCACCACCCATGCTTCTGCTTTGGGTGTGTGTATATCTTCAATATGTCTGTTCTTTATGTAGTAGGTATGAGCCTATCTAATCCACAAGGCATCTTTCTTCATAGCCAGAGCCAGCAGATGTTTTAACACTGCTGCTTTATTCCATATCTTTATATTTATCACGTTCAATCCACCTGTTGCTTTAGGTTGGCATATTCTGCCCCATGCAATCAATGCTTTCCTGGAAAACTCATTTGAACCAGTCCATAGGAAAGTCCTGCATATAGTCTCTATCATCTTCATGATCTTCTTTGGAATTAAGAAAATTTGAGCCCAATATATTTGTACACCAAATAGGACTGATTTGATAAGCTAAACTCTTCCTGAATATGAGAGCATCCTTGCTGACCAGCATCTGACTCTCTGTGTGATCTTCTCAACTAAAGGCAGACATTGATGAATATTCAGCTTCCTCGTAGACAGTGGAACTCCCAAATATTTAAAAGGTATACCACCCTTTGCATATCCAGTAAGATTAATCAGTTCCAGTAAGATTAATCAGTTCTTCTTTGATATGTTGTGGTACACCAGCAGTATAGATCGAGCTCTTTTCTGCACTTGCTTGCAATCCTGATGCATTTGAGAACTTATTGAAAGTGTCTTGCAATGCATTAACTGATTGTTTGTCACCCCTGCAAAACATTAACAAATCGTCAGCAAAATAAATGTTTGTCACTCCCAGCTTCTTGCATTTTGGATGGAATTTGAATTCTTTCTGCATAGTTAATGTACTCATCTCCCTCTGCAAATACTCCATAGCAATCACAAATAGATAAGGAGACATTGGATCTCCTTGTCTAATACCTCTCTTAGCAGGGAAAGGTCTAGTGAGTCCTCCATTAAGTGCTAAAGAGTAAGATACTGTTGTCACACACTCCATGATCCATCCAATAAATTTCTGTGGAAATACAAGATCTGTGAGCATATATTTTAATTATTGCCAATCCAGTGAATCATATGCCTTCTTTAAATCAACCTTGAGAATACATCTTGGTGTAAGCCTTTTCTGTTGTAACCATTAAACAACTCATGGCTAAACAGAATATTATCCACAATACTCCTCCCTTCTATGAATGCAAATTGTGCTTTCCCAATTATACACTCTATTACCTTCTTAATCCTTTTAGTAAGTATTTTTGCAATAACTTTGTAGACTGTAGTGCAACAGGCAATATGTCTATAGTCTTTCACAGTTGTGGGGTCTGGTCCTTTGGGAATCAATGTTATAGCTGTGCAATTCCATGCTTTCTTCATCTTACTTGTCTGGAAAAAGAATACCACAACTTCATAGACCTCTTGTCTCACTTCATTCCAGTGCATTTTAAAAAACTCTACTAGAAAACCATCAACTCCGGGGGCTTTGTCATTTGGCATGTCTTTCACTGCTTCATCAACTTCTTCATAAGTGACTTCCTGAATTAACTCTTGTTGCTGTTGTATTAATAAGCATACACCTGCTTTGATGATTTTAGTATTAGAACATGGTTTTAGTATAAGTGATTCATCGTTGTAAACATCCCACCATTTTTCTATCAACCTCTTCACATACTTCTTTTCCATGTTTGCTCCACTTCCATTCTACCTCCATGTGCTGGCACCACAAATTCTATGGCTAATAATTTCAGCAGTTCACTCTCAGAAGAAAAAAAGATGACTTTGTTCGATACAAACAAGGAAAAAACTCTTAAGAAGTCAAAGTCTCATTGTATAATTTAAACCAATCACAATCGTCCATTGAAGGCCCACGTGGATGCATCTGGGATGTCCATGTTAGTTAATAAATAATGTGCTAAAAAATGTTTGAAGTCCCCAACATCTTCTAGAAGGAAGTAACGGATGATTAGTCATGTATATCTAGTTTTGCATTTTGTATAGATTCCTTTAGTTTGTTATTTTAGACTCAATTAGGAATAGACATCTGTATAGGCCAGTTTATGCAATTTTGTATTTTTCTTTCTTAGAAATTTGTATATATAAGAGTAGTACACTGAATACAATCATCAAAATACAAGAAAATATTTCCTATATTCTCTAATTCCATCATGGTATCAGAGCAATATGACTCGATCTCTAGTTCTTCTCTTTTTCATCTTCTTCATTTTATTTTCCTACAGCCTCCATCTTTCTTTACTTTTCTTCCTAGATCAATTCCCACGGCACCTGCAACTTATGATTCCTCAGTCAGTTCTCCAATCCCTATCTCAGATACTCCTGCTCCAGTGAATCCAGCCATCTCTGATTCATCACACCCTTATTATCTCCATTCTTCAAACTAACCTGGTATGGTGTTGGTTCACACTGCTTTTGATGGAAAAGGTCATAGGGATGACTTCGTACACTTGTCATTACCCTCTCAGCCAAAAACAAACATGGCTACATAGATGGCAGCTTCACTCAGCCAGACCTTTCTGATGTTTTTTTCAAAATCATGGAATCGATGTAATGACATGGTTATCTTGTGGATCTTGAACTCCCTATCCAAAGAAATTACAAAAAAGTGTTTTATACTCTAAAACTGCTAAAGAAATTTGGACTGAGTTAGAGGATCATTTTGGACAATCAAATGGAGCTCAACTCTATCATCTACAAAAAGAGTTGACTGACCAGATTCAAGGTAACTTAGATATCCCAGGGTATTACACTAAAATCAAGAGGATTTGGGATGAGCTAGATGCTCTTAATACCTGTGACCATTGCACTTGTTCTTGTGGAGGCAAGTAAAAAACACTCAAGTCCCTTCAAGATGGTCGGCTCATTCAATTCCTTATGGACCTCAATGAGACCTACCCAGCTATACGCATCAACATCTTAATGATCTCTCCACTCCCTAGTGAGAATCAGGCATATTCTTTGCTTATTCAGGATGAGAAGCAACGTGAAGTGCATATAAGCCAACACCCTGTGGAATCTTCTTTTCTAGCCACAAATCAGTAGGGATATGCACAAAAATCAGGAAAAGCAGACATGAAATTCAAATGAACCTTTGAGTCAAAGAAATCCAACCTATTTTGCAAATACTGCAAGAAGCAGGGACACACCATTGATCAATGCAACAAGATCTTTGGTTTTCCCTCCTCTTTTAAGTTTACCAAATCCAGAAAGTATCAAGGTAGAGCTCACATTAATCAAGCTATAACCTCACAACAATCAAGCTATAACCTCAGAGGATCATGGAGTGGTATCTGCACGAATGGAGACTGAATCTACAAGCAAAGTCATTACACAAGATCAGTTTTCTCAAACTTTTTCAGTTATTACAAGTGAAGATGGGACAACAAGGTGAACAAGTTTCTGAAGCCAACACCACTGCTAACTATGCTGGTATAATACACCGTCACACCAATCCTATATCTTATTTTTTTCACATTAATTCTTTATATTGGATCTTGGATTCTGGAGAAAAAAAACATATGACTTATGGTTACTCTATTCTTTTTAATGTTAGACCATTATCTAATCCAGTAAATGTGAATCTTCCTAACTCTCATAGGGTCAGAGTTTATGAAATAGGCAGTTTTCATGTTCTTCCTGATTTAGTTCTAATCAATGTCCTATATGCCATGATTTTAGATTTAACCTTCTATCTGTTTATAACCTCACCAGATCCCTTAATTGTCTCTTACTCTTTGCTTCTTTTGCTGCAATTTTACAGGCCCCTTCAATGAAGAGGCCAATGGTTCTTGGTAGAGTTCAAGATGGTCTTTATCTACTCAAGCCTATTCCAGTCAAGCATGTTTTAAAGCTAGTCCCTCAACTAGTTTCTAAGTTTCAGTCTACTTGTAATAAAACAACGATAGTCTAGCTTTTTGATATGTTGCTATAATTCATGATTTTGCACATTATATGCTTTGCGTTCATGCTTTAATGTTAAATTACACTTTGTTTGAGTGTAGTAGAGTCTATTTTATGTGTAGGTGCACCGAAAATGAAAGTAGAGCGAAAGGGATACTTAAACATCGAAAGTGCGCTCGAGAACGGTGAAAAGGAGAACCCGGGCAAAAGCTAGCTCGACCAGGCTTTAGCCTGGCGAGGCCAGCTTAAAGCCAGGCCCAACCAGGCATTAGCCTGGCGACTCTAGCTTAAAGCCAGGCCTAGTCAGGCGTTAGCCTGGCGACGCCAGCTTAAAGCCAAATAGAGGCTGGCATTATCCAGGCGACGCCAGGCCTAAGGCTAGGCCCGGTCCAAGTTTTGAAGGTTTTAATTGTTTCTCGGCTTGACTAGGAGTTGACCTACACATTTAGGGCTTGTCCCAAACATATAAATAGACCCGAAAATGCCACTTTGAAGGGCTTTTGCAACCGGAGGCAAGACTAGCTCGTGGAACACTACTTGAGAGTTGGATTCATTGATTTCTACATCTCTTTATCCTTATTCTGTAATTTAATTATGCAAATTACTTTGGATATTTGTACTATGAGTATGAGTAGCTAAACTCATATTTAGGGTTTTGATAGAACCTGTTTAAGGATGATTTTGTTGTTATGTTAATATATATTTTCCATAGTATTATCTCTATTTGTTCAGCTATATGCTTATTATTGTTGATTGAAGGGCCCTCAATTAACTATTCCTATTTAGTGTGCATTACTTGGGAGAGAGTGCATATTTAGGTAGTTGTTGAACATCATCACTCCTAACGTATATGAGGGATCAATACGAAGGGTTTAAAGGTGGGATTACGGATAACGAAACCTTGGGTGCGATCTAAGTGAATTGCACTTAAAGTTAGCTAGCGTAATTCAGGGGAATATGTCTAGTATATTGTTGTAATTACTCAGGACAGAGTTACGACAATCAAAGTGCTCATGATCGATATAGAAGACTTAGGTAAATTAATAGCAAACATAGCGGAAAGGATTCCGACAATAGGAAAAATCAGAACCTTAGATCATCCCCATTCTTGCTTATAAACCGTTTATAGTTAATCTTAATCACTGCATTTTCATTACGTAATATTTAGTTAGTAAACATCCAACCTATTACTTAAATATATCTGAAGATTGAATACGTGAATTTGTGTAAGTCCAATAGCTGTGATTGATAGGTTAATTCCATGTGGGATTCGACTCCAGAATTGTTAATCGGAATATATTTGTAGCGACTGCTTTGTCCTTTTTATAAGGCATAGTTGGGCTTAATCAAATTTTGGCACCGTTGCCGGGGAATTAACGGTATTATTAATTGCATTTAAAAAGGAAGTGCAAAATTCTTACTGTAGTCAATTTTCTTCAATTTAAACTGATCATTGAAATTCTAACGTTTTTAGTCTTGGTTATTATAGGTACATGCTTAGAAACTCCTCAAGAACTGGTGAATTGTTTGAAGCAGTATCAGATCCTGAGAAAGATTTCAAGGCATTGAATCGTGCAAATAGGAAAGGCAAACAACAATAGAACTCATCCGAAAAAATTGAACCAGACATGGAAGACGATCATCTAAAAAACAGAAACAATGTGAATAACCCAAACGATCAGGATGTGGTACCTCTTGTGCCAGAAGCAACACTATATGATTGAGTGCAACGCACCGCTGACAACTTAGCAACTGCCATTGTAGTTCCTCAGATACAAGCAGATTCATTCTAGATCACAAATAACATGCTACATTTGTTGCAGAATAAGGGGCTGTTCTATGGGTCATACGTTGAAGATCCTCAACAGCATCTGAAGAATTTCCTATCAATCTGTGCCATGTAGAGGCAACATAACGTGACACTGGAAGCAATATGGTTGTTGTTATTTCCATTCTCAGTGACGGGAGCAACTCAAACTTGGCTTAATTCACTCCCCATAAACTCCATCACTATTTGGGAGGAATTAGTCAAGCAATTTGTGAACAAATTTCACCCACCCGACAAGACTGCTCAGCAAATTGATGAGATACTGAGCTTCAGATAGAAACCAATGGAGACATTACAAGAAACATGGGAGAGATTCAAGGGTCTGCTGGTTACGTGTCCACATCATGGTATTCCGGAGCAGATGTTGGGGCAGAGGTTTTACATGGGTTTGGTAGATAGCTTGAAAGCCATTGTTGATACTTCATCAGGTGGAGCATTTTTGAGCAAGACATTCAGAGAAAGCAAGATCCTACTTGACAAGAAGGTACAAAACTCAAGATGGACAACAAGAAACGCTCCAATCACTCCTATGGTTCACTCAGTGGCTTTAGACCCGACTAACTCCATAGCTGAAAATATGGCCACTCTACTGACACAAATGAGCATCCTCACCAAAAAGGTTGATGAATCAGGCCAGAAACAGCAGGTACACATAGTTGATGCAACTAATGGGGGTTTACGTACATCATGCATTAATCAACCATATGTCTGCTCGTGGAGTGCTGAAGGTGATAACCAATAATATCAGGAGAACATGAATTATGTGGCCAACTATGGGGGACAGAGACCAGGTGGTCAGAAAAAATCAACATTATAGACCAGCTCAACAGCAGTACAACAACAATAATAACCTTGGGGCTATGCGACCACATGGTCAAATGGTGCCTTACCAAAGGCAACAAGGTTACAACCAACAAAATCAGCAGCATGCTTATCAACA